CTCCACCGGCAGCGCGCGCACGGGCCTTGGCGCGGCGCCCCTCCCCCTGCGCGCCCCCGGGGCTTGCTCAGCGCGGCCCCCTCGCCCCCCGAGGCTCCGCACAGCGGCGGCTGCGCCCCCTCCCCGCGCCGGGTCCGGGGTCCCGTTATCGGGGAGCGGCCGTGGGTCTCCCGCGGTCCAACCGGACGGCCCGGCCCCGGCGCCTCCGTCGGGGGAAGCGGCAGGTGGGGCTCGGGGAGCCCGCGGACCCGCAGGACTGCCCTCGGGGCGCGGGGGACACGCCCGCTCCCAGTCCTGAGACGACCCGCTCCGTCCGCGACAAACGCCCCCGGCTGCGGGCGACCATGTCCCGGTGGAAACTCGGGGGACCGGGCAGCGTCCGCCGACTGCGGGGCCGCCTGGCCTTGATCCCGCACGCACCCGGGCCTGGTGCGGTCCGCCCTGCCCCTCCTGCCGCGGACGCGGGTCAGCGCGGGCCAGGCCCCCCGTAGCTGGCCTTCGTCGGGCGGCCCGCCTTTGATGAGGCCCCGGCGGGATGGAGAGGGGCGAAGAGGCCCGAGGCCGGTTTCCGGGAAGGCCAGCCGTGTGGCCGGGAGCGGGTCCTCGGGTTCTCGGACCCGCTATGGGCACCGAGTTACATGGGATCGGGCCCGGGCTGTGTGTCCGGACCCGGGACGGACTCTGCTTGTTGGGGAGCTGCCCCCGTGGGCAGGTGCATCCACGTCAGGCCAGGACTTGCTCCTGCCAGCGCTGGACACTTGGCAGGGGCTGTGGGGCTGGTCGCTTCTGTTGCCGCCTGTTTCCCTGGAGCTGCAGGGGGGCGGTCCTGCGGCTGGACAGGATGACATTGGCAAGGGTGACAAGCGCTGTGGGCCCCGCTGCTCCCCGTGCTCCTTTGTGCCTGGGCAGGAAAGAAAACAGTGTCTGAGGGAAGACAGAGGCGGCGGGTGGACGGTGCCGTTTGGGCATCAGGCATTAGGAAGGCCATGGTGTGCGATCTGAGCTCTGTATCGGACCTGAAATCATTTTCCTTTGTGTTACGTGAAATGCTCCTTCATAGGAGGGGCTGGGGAACAAGCATTAAGGGAGATGGATGCACGATTTAGAAGCCTTCTTCCGGAAGCTTCCACGTGTGGACCGTCGCCTGGAGACGTGGCTGGCCTGGCAAGGGCATCGCGTCGGACTGAGCTGTGCTTCTCCTGATGCGTGGTCGGCAGCCGGACCAAATATTTCCCAATGGGTCTCCCTGGGCAGTGGTTCATGGGTCAGTTTTGAAAGGCCTCCGACACCAGTAACCCCAGAGTTTTCCTTCGTCTTTCAGAAGCTTATTACCCATCCCAGGTTTCCCCGCCAAGAATTTGGAGGAGGATTTTACTCTTTTCTGGCGGAATCATTTACAACTGCTTTTCTTCTCTTCTGGGGCATCCCACGAATCTGCTCGTGGGAGAGCGAGACTCAGAGAGAAGGAACCAGGGGCCTGAGGACACTCACCCCCCCCCATTCTGGGAGCCCAGAACTTTCCGCAGGCTCATCCAGGGGACATCCAGCCTATGGGGCTCCTCCACCCCCTCCGACCCCAGGTCCAGCCAAGTCTTTTGAAAGGTCACAGGTGTTTGCAAGCACCTGGCCGGCTGTTTGGAAACATTTTGTCATCGCTGAGTAAAAAGTGCGGCCAACGAGCCAAAGCTGCCTTTGCACAGAAGGTCCCTGCACCCGGGCACCCGTGACCTCCCCAGCTCCCAGCCTGTCCTGAGCTTCCGACCATCTGAACAGTCCTATGTGCGCTGCGGCCAGCCCCCAGCGCTTGGGTGCAGAGCGCGTTCTGCCGGGAGGGCAGGCAGGAGGGAGGGAGCGTCTGACCTCAGGACGGCTGCCGTCTCTCCCAGTTGGGTTCCTCCTGGCACCCCCGTGAATTTGCCCGTGATGGGCGCCCACTCCCAAGTGTCTTCCATTATCAGCTGGATCCTTGGCACAGGGAGGCCAGAATTCCTTCCAGAATCCTTGAATTCTTTTCAGATTTCTAGTCTTGTGTGCTTTGCACATGTTACGAGGGAGGAAAAAAATACATAATGTGTGCTTCGGTAGAGGGAAGCAAAGATCGGACGAATGCTTACCGAACGTCGCGGGAGAAATGCTCGGGGTCTGCGGGGGCGCACGTGGGGGTCTGCTGCGTGTGCCGCGGCCGTTTCGGGAGAAGCCGGAACTCCGATTCTCTTCTATTTGGAATTTCTTACGCACGACTTGTCATTGCAGCGTTTCTGGAATTCGTCTTCCTGCTTTTAAGTCTTGAGGTGGGGAGACCCCCAGCAAGTGGGTCTCTTTAATATTCCTGTATTCCTGGCCGGGCTCCCGAGGTACTAAGCATGAACAAGCTGTAAACTTCTCGAAATATGTCAGTAAGTGCAGGTGGGGTTTGAAGACAGCACTTGTCCAGGCGCAGCAGGGCAGCCAGCCTGTCCCCAGGAGGTGCTCTGAAGCTGCTCTCTCCGGGTTAAAGGGGATGGGGACGGCAGCGCCACTTTCAAGATGGCTTTCCCTTCATCACCGATAGGAAGGCGAGGTGCTTTTCTCTCTGGACACTCTCCTCCCAGATACCCAAAGCCCTTCTCTGTGCTCCCGGCTGTTTCACTTGGTTTAGTGTGGTTTATTGAAGGCATCAGCCCCATGACTTCAGGTATTGGACGACAAAGCGGGCTGCCGGCAACATCCTCAGGCCTCAGTGGTGGTCACGGTCCCTTTGCTGTGTGTTACCTCTGCAGACGCGTCCACACTGCCCTGGCCTGGGTCCGCCAGGCGGGAAGAAAGCACGAAGCCTCAGTGGGCCCCCGGCTCCCATGGTCTCACCCCCACCCCCGCGATCACGGCTCCTCTGGGATGCATTTGGTCTGCGACTACCTCGGTGGCGGTGGTGTTCCTCGGTCCAGGCCCTCCACAGGCTGGGAGGGAAGGCGTCCTGGGTCTCGGGGACCCTCGGGCCGGGGTACGGGCCCTGGGGAGGCCTGGAGAGGCAGCCGTGGGACAGGCAGGGCAGAATTCCAACATCCCGGGCTTAGGCACATACACACACCAGCAAACGTGTCCTACCCTCGGACCTGCTGGCTCCTGATGCAGAGTTCCTGGGCTCTGGTGCCCGTTTCTGTCTCTGTCACCGGTGAGGAATCCCCAGTGTGCCTAATGGCCTGATACTAAAGCAGGGCTGTGGTTGATGCCAACAGGCCTTCGGACGTCTGTCTCCCTAATCCGTGTTCTGTAGACTGTGGTCTTAGGGAGCAGGGGTGGGAGGACAGTCAGCACAAGGCGAGGGAGCAGCCAGGGCCCGAGACGCTGGCATCAGTACCTGTGGGGCTCACCACAGACCTGGGGGGTGGTCACGTGTCCTGGGCGCATACCCAGAGTAAAGCAGCTGCCCTCGGGTGGGAGGAACCCACACCTATGAGTGCCATTGTTCCCCTCCATCTTCCTGGTGGTCCCAAGTGACTGGGGAGAAAAGCTAGGATCCTCTGGGATGCTCTAGCCTCATGCAGACCAGGAACCAGGACCAGGAGCCCCAGTGTGGCCACATCCCTTATTCTGGGCTTTGTATAGGAGACGCCCAGAGCACCTCGATTCCTTCTGGGAGCAGGGCTTCTTGTCTGGTTGTCTCCGGGATATCCGCTGGCTGGTATCCAGTCAGAAACGATGTGAGTTTCTACGGTTTGTCAGAACCGGGAACAGGCGCATGCCCAGACTCCGGCGTGGTCGGTGACAGGGGCACCAGCTGGGATGGAGTAGGCGGGAAGGGGCAGGTCTGCCGGGGAGGGGAGGGCCGGGCGTGCGGTGCCCGGGAGTCACCCTCCAGGCGTCCGAGTGTCTGCCATGCACTGTGCGTGGTTTGGGAGTGCAGGCACAGCAGGAAGGGGATGGACAAGGCGTCTTCTCTCGAGGGCGGGGTCTAGCTAAGGAGACAGACCACAGGACATGAGATGGTGAGGGAGGTGCTTTTAGAAGCTGAGACGGAAGGGAAGAAAGTGATTCCAGGTGACACAGCAGAGGCGCTGGGCAGGGGAAGTGGCCTCCCATGGGGGGCTCCTTCCATGTCCCCTGAGCTAAGGCGGAGGACACAGGGCAGGCGGGCAGGAGGAGGCCATTGTGAGGGGACACAGGAGAGGAGGGATCCAGGCCAGCTTGTAGGCTGGAGAGGCACAGATGGTGGAAACGCCCGGCATTGCCCAACGTGCCTTTGCGAGGTACTGCATGGCGGCCGTGTGACTTTTCTCTGGAGGTGCCTGCGTGAGGGCCGGTGTGGCCCAGTGGGTGTCTGTGCTCAAGCAGGGGTAGGGCATTGCCAGGGAAAGAGGCCAGGATGAGGAGGGGAAAGGAGTTGGGATGTTCGTCTGGCCGGGGACTGGTCCCGAGTGTGGCTTCCCACCTCGGCGGGGAGAAGGGATAGAGCACAGGGGTGAAGGTCTGCGGGGG